ATATAGCAATGGTAACAGGGCTGGATGTGAAGTTGATTTTTCATGAAATAGATGTATTACTATTGCACTATGATAAACAACAACAAAAACGAACATAATATTACATTTTCATGCTACTTAGCAATAGAACCATAGTGATAAGCCACATTAAATCAGAGCAATTGTTCTAATGCGGTAATGAATTTCTGAAACATTCCATCGGTAAAACATTAAGCATCTTCATGATGAACGCTGTTTTACAAACAGTGCGCCATGGGCAGTGAAATTGCGTAGGTAATACGAAAGAACGAACAGAAGGTAATAATATTTTGTGTACATGTTATAAACTAGAATGAATAATGGTGATTGCACTTTCAATGATATTGTGAAGGAAAATCACACACAAAAACAACATAACACCCACATGATGACGACTTCGAGTCGACAACATGAATTACTGAGAGTTACTAGTCTTCAACGTCGCCTTTTACAGAATGTTTGATTTGACGTTGCCGCTTAATAATGACACCTAGACGTTCACTTAATGTGTTCCCTTAACACTACTGTCGACATACAAGTGCATATCGCATATTCACGTTCGAATATGTTATTGTGAAAATGTCTAAAGCTTCTCTGATCATTTCTTCCCTATCAGGAGAATAAATGTCAGTTGATTCTCACATTAGGCTACCTGAAGTTTAGTAAACTCTACAGTTGGGCGCAATAAAAAGTATATTTGAAGAGAGGAAAGAGATGGAGCTATAAACTTTGTTTGGAAGCTAGGCGGTAAGCGGAGCGTAAGGACGATGAAAAGTGAGAGTAAGGCAGGCAGGAAGGAAGGAAATAAACTGAGCATTACCACTGAAGAATGCTCGAATAGAAATGCGAACGGAAGAAGGAAGAATTTAGTGATTGAACATATTGGTGAAGATATTTTCAATGTAATGGAAGTTAAGTGTGACAGTCAGATGTTCATGCTTTAGATGGACTTCGCAACAACGTTACGACAACGGCGATTGCGGAGGCGAACAGTGCGAACGTCAGTGCAGAAACGATCGCGAAACCACTTGTAGACATGCATATTCCACCGTGACCACTGGACAGTGCAATCATCATTGGAGTGCCGAATTCAGATGACGATGTACGGTGTCGTAAAGCAGCCGGCAGTACAGCGGACTGTAAACATAACGTCAGTCTATCCGATATATTTCATCGAGAACAACAAAAATGAATCACTTGAAAAATCACATTGATCTTCTAGAGTATTCATACAGAATTTTTATCTGCACTTTCTCGGATCAATCATTCATAATATTCTATCAGGTTATAGTCCTATTACTCCCTTGTGGGTGTGAAAAAATTCATTATTCGCTGAAAGGGATGGAAATGTTATTGAATTCGATAAATTATCACCTCGTCAATGATATCCAAAGTGCTTATGTCTGTTCTCACATCAAGGGTATTCATATTCGAATCAACGGCACGTTTCTTCAGTACCCTCAATGCGGCGGGTGATTTTGGAGCGGCCGATTTCACTGCACCAAAGCCTTGTGGCTCCGAGCACTCTGGTCTTGCGCATTCACTGTTGGGTTCCTTGATAGTGATAGCAATCTGACATTGATAGAAAAGTTGAGAGCGATCAGCATATTTGTAAACGTGTGCCTCTTGACCAGCCATCAAATCAGTAGGATATTCGAGATTATTGAGAAGGTATTTATCGAGGGCACATCCATCTTCGTTGAGAATCTCAACTTTATCACCACTGCCATCATCCACAAAGCATGAATGCACTACGGCACAGAATGTGTCGATTGTTTCTGAATCACATGTCCATTTGTGATATACTTGTTGACCGATTGTTGCGAATTGAATTGGTTGACCTGATGGTCCACCATCAAGGATCTAGAAATAATGAAATGCTTTAAGATAGAATTATCAAATCAAACAACAAAACGAGTGAATCAAAAGATAACCTCATATCTGCAGATAGGCATAGGAATGACTTGAGTGACGAATGCAGTTGTTATCTCAGAGACTTCAATTTGTGTGCTAACTGTTTTATCAGCCTCCATGTAGAAGCACTGAACGCGATAAGCACGATCAACTTTAGTGACGAATAAAGGATGGAACGAGATGACTACAGTGGTCGTTACAAAAATACCGCGTGGATTCAAAGATCGAGTACGAGCCACATTACAAGTGTCGAAAGGTAACTCAATACCAGCTACTTGTCGACCGCCCTCATCTGATCGACATCCTTCTTGATCATAAAGTCCTTTCACATAGACGTGACCCCCAAATGGGTTTCTCGTGTTGAAATTAACTGTTATCGATGCTGGTCCACATTCTATCTCTGGATCGCCTTCAACGCCATTATCCACTGGGATAGCCGATACAGTAGCAATCAATGAAATACAAAAGAAGAGCTGTCGAAGCATTTTGGTGGAGGTGCGTATCAATGACGTTTCGAATCACTTTTATAGAGAAGCGCTTGAAGATGATCCCATTGAGGTCAGCCCTTCCTGTTTCTCATCTTCCCGTTTTGGTGATCCATATGGATATCGATGATTAGAGATGGTCATGAATCTTATTTACACCTTGATATCACTCTCTTGCAGATAATGTTGTCTTTTCATATTCTTATCATAACAAGTGAAGACCACTTTAATTCGTCAGCAATTAGTGTGTTCGTTCTGACAATTAATAAAGACAGCGAATTCGTCCGTAAGTTCCGTGCCCAATGTATCGTTTGTGTTCGAACCGTTAATGCATAACCACAGTCAAAGGTCTCACTGATCAAAACCCTTTGTTTCATCTCGGCCACCTTAACCGATGAAAACGACTGCAGAATGAAAGCGAAAAGAGCGATTGTCGCCCGCGGGCATTGCCTCGGACATCCGATATCATGTCAACGATGATGTGAGAATTTCTTTGTGGTTTGCTTTCGTTCATTTGACTTTTGTTGGAATAGTTGTAGATTTAAAATTGTGTTTTGATTATGATGTACACGGAATTTAATAATACCAATCTGATGGCATGATTCTTACTCGACTATTCAACTGTTCCATTATATTTTTGTTGTGCATCAATCTTCATCTGATGGGGAGAGTGACTTTTGTCAAAGTATAATAATAAAACTGATCAACAAATTTTGAGAAATTGTGTGATTCTTCGAATTGCTTAGTCAATTTTGATGTAATTTCATATCCTCAATCCAAATATCATCTTGAAAATGGCTTATTGGCTGCACTTGTAAGAATACACGAAATAGATGATATTTGAATTTCCCATTAAAACGCATGCCATGTTATGTTTTATTTCTTACCTATCCTCTTCGTTTTTGTTAGACGCTGATATTCGGCTGAAGGAACATAACTCTCGCCAACAGTCTGCAAGCATAGTTGACCCATCCATCCCGATACCTTGACAGGAAAAAAAATTGAAACAGGAAAACAATTTTGGATGCGAGCTAAAAAGTGGATTTTAAGTGGCACAATATATTCTAAGTTCTTGTAAGCCTTGATGAAGTTTTTCATTAATTCCTCACGGCTTCCCTCCGGTTTCTAAGAAATCGCTTTGCCACTAACTTAAACTTTTCCCTAGCATCTTTTTCTTTCTCATGAGAGTCAAATTCGATATCTTTAAGAAGCTCACAAAGACTTTTATTCCTTTTATTTCAGCGTCGAATAGCGAGGGGGATTTTGTTTTTAAGAAGATGAATTCTTGACGAAAATTGTCCATAACTTTTACAGCGTTCCTCATCAGCTTTACTTTTATATGCAGCGGTGGAAGAAAAATTTTGTTTGTTTCAGCGATGGGTGGATGGTTTATTCTAGGTTCCAAGGATTCAAGAGATGGTCAGTCTATCCAGACATAGTGGGGATCTCTTGCACAGCTGTCCCATTCACATAGAGAGCAACAGTACTTACTGTATCCACCCTGCAAGCCTACCACATTAGCAAATCTCTAATTTACCGCGGAGTTCCCACTGGTGTTCACCATATTATAAAGTTTGCAGCATATTCTGTATTTACTCATAGGCTTCTTTCGTGTGTGGTGCATAGCTCATACGAAGTGACTGCTTGCCATTGCTGTAATCCCGTTGGTACCTATCTTGATATGTACGTGTATCTTGGAAACTAGGGTTAATAAACAATTTCAACTACGATATCCATTATTAGTGACTGAATCTAGCAAAAAATTTCAGCCCTGATCTTGGAAGAATTTCGACTGTTGACCAGTGTAATCAAACGATAACCTGTATATACATAAACAATTGAATAGACAAGTGAATAAAGATTTGAATGTGAGTGCATGATTCTGCTAAGATATTTCAAGGAATGTTACCATTTCAAAAACGCTGATGTAAGATACTGTTCTTAGGTGACGTTACCCAAATATTGGTACAACTATGGCTTTTGTTTTGATTATTCATCCCGCTCATTCTTCCCTACACTGAAAACATCAGCCACATGAGTGGATAAATGGATTGTTTATATGTTGCTTTCTTTAAAACAGTGCCATCAGTTTACATCTTCTTGGATCAATATTTAATTAATTATAATTTCGAGAAGAAACTCATTTTCGTGGAAAATGTTGCATAAATGAATTGATGAGGATTAAACAAATAAACGAAGCATTCAGGGGAATGTATCACGATTTTTATTTCTTAATTCAGTCAATTCGAAAAGGAGTGAATGGCGTTGATTAGGAATGAACTAAATGTCCGGTTATCATCATTTATTTATCGGTCACCTTTTGTTGTTGTTATTGTTGTTGTTCTCCTTCTTCTTCTTTAGATGTTGTGTTGGGGATTGCCGATTTTGTTCGTACTAACTATAAGCGAAAAAACTGGCAAAACGTGTGCTGATGAGTACAATATGATCATAAATTTTCAACTATTTTCCCACCTGTCGATGAAATCAAAACTTTAAAAAATGTACGTAAAAATAAATCCGAAATATTCATCAAATACACAACCATTTGCTCTGCCCGAAAAATTTAAAACAAGCAATTTTCATTTAAAGTAATGAATGTGGTATGCAAATAAGACAATTATCGATTCTGCATCACATTCCACTCAAACCTATTTGTTCTACTTATGCCATATATTTGTACAATTATAATATTGAGTGACATGTGTTCATCAAAAGAAGACGTCAACATCGAAATGAATGCTTAATAGTACTGAAACGTGTATTGATCTTTAACGGACGACAGCATGCATCGATTTTGTGCATAAATGATGAAATTTTAATGCATATCATCTTTAGTTGTGAGTGAATCAAGGAATTTCTGAAACATGTTATATGAATTCTCATTACTCTGAAGCTAACTCAAAGAACAAACTCGTATTTAGCTAGAGACAGAATCACTGCGGTAATATCAAAATGAAGCTGAGGAAACTATCGACTATCGTAATGATGATATTTTTTACTACGGAAATATCTAATTACGATAAATGATATTTCTGGGGCTTCGAAAAGTTTAAGATTCTGGTGGATAAAGGCATCATTGAGCATTGCAATTCTTTTGATCGATGTGCATGCTAATTTGCAATCTCATACTTTTTTCACGCGTTCCCTCCATTTCAAATGATTTTTTTTCTCGCACTTTCATTGACTCTTTTTTCCTAGGGCGATACCGTATGCAATTATCATTATATTTTCGCCGCATTCTTCAAAGCGGTAATTAATTACTGCAGTAGATGGATGAGGAGGAAGGCGATTTGTTCACCATCTGGGGATGGCTTTCGAGCAATCGAAGATGGCATGTATTCTACTAGCGTTGCAACGATGAATAATCATACTGAGAAGATGGTGAGAAATCAGAACTGAAGTGGAATGCCGCGTTGGGAGCACCCGCAATATTTATCATTAAGAGAAAATTACTGAAAGTGAAACTAAATTGTTTAAAATTAATGAGTGATGAATCTAAATTTTAATTTTGAAAAATTTATACAAATATTTATATTAGAGTGATAACTTTTTTTTCGAATTTCGGAATTCGCGGGGCCTCGCCTCTCATAAAATAAATTTTCTAAAATAGCTTGAAATATCACAGCGCCAACTTGTTTTTTTTTTGACTAACGGTGTAGATAGCATGACATTCCAACCTGAATTTTCTTCAGATGAACTTCCATAAAGATTGTTTAAAATTAATGAAACAAGAGTGAGACTACAAAATTTTCGATATTCTTGCCTCAAGGCGGCTTGAACGAAAAAGTTTCAAAAAGTTTTCTCCATATGAATAATTATTACCCTGATGTACAAAAATATATGAGCGCGAAACGATTCCGATAAAATGATTATGAATTTAACGTAAAATTCCAACAAAACTGTCTTTTGAATGTAGCAATTTTTAAAAAACAGATTTCCGACGTGTCGAATGATTTCTATGACGTTCCAAGTGAACGCCTTCCACTATTTTCGAAGCAATGTAATCAAATAACGAATGCCAGCCGCCTTCTATTTCTGTTGTTCTACCACCTTCATTTATGTTTGCGTCAACGAATTCGCTCATACATTTAACAAATATTGGTACGTATTTGAGATGAAATCCTTGAGTATACCGATGATAATGCCGACGACCATACATCACCTCAAATGTGGTAGATGTTCACGATTCTTGATCGTGAATGAGAATACACCCGACACTAACATATCATATCACTCACCAGAACGGGACCCATCTCAGCATCAAGCTCATCAATGTTTCGAACGCATAAATCAATTACGGATCCAAGCAATTTACCAGAACGACGGAATGGTTCATATTCGAAAAGATCATCTATGAATGTTGGAACGCCGAATACTTCCTTCATTAGAGGCTCAGCATTGAAAATTCTCTGGAAGAAATAACTGAGAGTTTATACGACTCTGTGCTGCAAAAACACCGAATTTTTGAAATAAATGAATCTGTCGAATGATAGGCTGGTCTGAAGGGCTTGATGAGACTTGAGAGTTCTCAGACTCGGCCAGATTCAAAATGATATTTCATCGTTCGAAACTAATACTTAGTTGAGGTTAAAATTTGAATGTTGACAGAATCGAATGCACGACAGCGATTACGTTCATAGAATGACATTTACGATGCAAAACGAAGTGCGTGATTGAAGAAAACAAGCGCCTGATAAGTCACTGGAGTAGTTGTAGCAACCGTAAACCTACCTGGTAGATTGCAACACCTAACCACGATGCATCACCGTTGTACAGTGATAGAATAGTGCGCCACTGTTCACATATTGTTGCTTTTGTGTTCTCATCAATTGATCGCGAGCTTGATCCAAGAATGCGCAATATCGATTTATTCCTATGAAACTAATTTCTTGATTGAACAATCGCTTGCAAGAAGCAAAAACGACATATTAGCATATTAGCAGTGATAGCAGATTGAGGTATCAACTCTGCAATGCACTAGGAAGTAGAATGGTCATTTGATACAACCGTTGAACAAATCAGTGACTAAGGTTTGTGGAAAGATGAAGCAGTGATCCTTTCTTAATGTACTGTTAGTGTAAGAGATAAGCTGAGTTATGAACAGTTGAACTCACTAATATGCCACCCACCTAATTAAATGATTCGGCGATTGCACGGTTCACTTTCGTAATGGATTATTGAACTATTCACAGCAACAAACATGAGCAATCAGTTGTTGAATCTACGAATAACACAACGGAATGATCACCTTTTCCGGCTGATTCTATTCGCTGAAGCTGCTCTACTGATTTTTCTCGTTTTTATAGGCGGTACCTTCTGATTTGCTGACTGAAGAACAACGGAATCGTCGTGCTGAAAGCGAGGTGCAATACCATTACTGTTCTATTGATTAGAAATGAAAGCATCAATAATGATTGAGTCTTTTGAGCAGAGTGAAAGCGTAGAATGATAACAAAAAACGACGGATGACACAAGCTAAAAATTTTGAAGTGAATGGAATTTGCATCAGCATGGTAATCTAAACGAACAGTTTCCATCAAGACTGAAATGTGAAATTCGAAATGCGTTCCAGTTGATTAGTGAGAAAAACCGTTGGAAAGCGATGAGTGAGCAGTTGATTGCTGTTTGATTCAGAATCTGATGAAGAACTTGAGTGCGTTTGCAGAGGGAACTCGATGGAGCATTGGTTATGCCCGGTTGAAAATGCACTGTAAGATGACATATTCCGCAGATTGTTTGGAATGGTGTGTTGATTGCCCATTTACCTTCAGTGATTCAGCGATGAACAATTGCAACATGCTAATGACGCTCGTAAGCAGTGTCACAATGAGAGTTTCATTTGCCAAATAAACATGCTATGAGATGACAAGTATCAGATATGTATCTCCAATATCAACAAGTGATGTTTACAAAGTGAGTGAATTTTTTGGGTAGTTCCACCGCATGGTACAAAGAGAATAGACGAATCTTGCAGACAATCACATGGTACATCATTGAGCACAAAACATGTGAAGTGAACATGTTAAATAAATGTTTGCCGGATGATGAATGCAGGATGCAAACTTGTTTTAGACATGAAATTAAGAGCTCATGCTGTTCAGAGTAATAATGCAGATATCAACTTTATAGCAAACTTCATGTGCTGCTGATCCTATTAATTGACAGCAGATTGTACAAATCATACTGACCACGGAGTCGCTCATTAGAGCTTCAGCATGAGAGCTCAGCAAACATGAGACCTTCAGCCTTTAACTCATTAAGGATTGTGATCTGCATTTGGGCAGCGTGATATTTATTCCCTCTAGTAATGCAATTTGACAAGTAATTGAAAAAAAGACACGTATTTGACTGTACAGAACGTCAGCTATCAACTCCATACCAAAAAAACCACTCAGACCTTCACTGCAGCACAAGACCTGATTCTTCCGACCGAAGTACCGATCTTCAACGACGAAGGGAACTGCATTTTCTCAACTCGTATTAATCTTATTTATGAAGATAAGTTTTATTTATTATTGGATTTTATTTATTTATGAAGACAAGTCTCCATTTTCTTCAGTTCATCTGATACGCAAAAATCAATTTTATCTGACAAATGCTCTGCATTCACATCACATCAAACCTCATTAGTGCCGCAGGTCAAAATGGCGTCATTCCCATTAAGAGATCACAGCGCTTGCGAAGTTCTATTTGGTGTTTCGACAAACGCTCATGTGTACTGTAAAATTTTGTTTCGGAAAGATACTGATGATAACGATTTCAAAAATAATAATGACGAATGTCGCAGAACTCCCTCCGGAACGAGCTGATGAAATGAGGATATTGGTGATAACGATATCAATTTCAAATTTCGAACGACTGCACAAGACAGTTCATCAGGATTCATCCTCTACCTCATCGGCAGAAAATATTTCGCAGGCTCTACCACCAGTCGTGCTCTAGTTGAGATCATCAGCTCAGAGACCGATCATTCAGTCCACGACAGGGAAATGGGAAAACGAAGCAAATATACAATTTGTAGAGAAATGCAAGGAAACTAGCATAAATGCGTTGCTGTTTCAGAGAATGACACAAGATATAGTTTGCATGGAATGTAGTCTACATTTGGTCTTCAATTTGATATTCTGCAATAAATGATTGAATTTTTAAATGGTTTGATGGTTAAATTTTAAATGTATATGTTTTTTAGCAACTAAAAACAGGGGGTTACAGTTGGTTAAAGAACCACAAGTTAACTTTGGTCCAAAATTTGGAAACTTCGAAAACAATTTTCGCTATTTCTACCCAGGCAACCAATGGCCGTGCATCGTACTGAAACTTTAGACAGCACTTAGACGGTGCTTTCAAATGTACATGCTTCCACTTTTTCTTCTCAACTTAAGTTTTTCTCACTGTTATGATACACCTGAATATCAACGAATTCAAAAATCTGAGAAAAATTTTGGTCTTTGACGGATTAAGGAGGGCTTTCGTTTGAAGTATTCTTTTATTATATACATTATTTTTTTAGGTTTCCTTGATTGCAAATCTCTTTTTTCTTAATGTTCAAATCTCAAACGGCTTTGAGAAATGTAAGCTCTCTTCGTTGTTCAAAAGCCCGATCGTTGAAGAGAGTCCACTTCATCAAGAATCACGAGATATGAATGTCCCGAAGCTTATGTTTAAGGAACTGCCAAATACATCTAGGGTTGCATTATGTAAAGTGAAATGAAGAAAGGAAAAGGTACGATACTTTTGTGATCACAGTCGACCACAATTTGATCAAAATAATATCTTGCATAAGAACACTGTCGGTACAGCGTTAAAAGAATTCGAATGGTTCCATAACGAACGAAAGAGGAGAGCAGAAGAACTGAATGCGGTGAAAATAATGTAGAAATCGACTATTGAAGCATCGAGTGAAAGTAGACTCGTGATATGTACGACTTAAGTCATATCAATTCACTAGAACGATTGATGAGATGCAGGAGCGACAAATTCATTAAAATGGACAAATATCAAATGGACTTGTATTAGATGAATGTGATGTTCAGTTGGCTTGTGCATCAATGATGTAGTTGGATGGCGTAAGCGTTACGACGTGAGGCTATTGCGTAAAAAACCGAAGCGGATGTAGCATACATTGTTCTCTTGCACCGACCAAATTTTGAATTGCTCACCACCCTCCTAGATGGAAGAAGTCTCGTGGGGTCTAATCATGCGTAAATCTCACTGGTCGAAACAATCAGATCAACTCCAATAAAACATTCAGTTAACAAAATTCCAGCTGTAGCTTTCGATCAGCATTTTCATGCAATCAACTGTGCATTTTTCGATCTGCAAACGATGAGCTGCACTCAATTTCATCAGAAATTTCTCAGCGTTGAAGTGTTCAACAGAGAGCGCTAATGGAACTTCACGAGGATTTTTGTTCGAAAGTGCATTGATGCGAATGCAAACACAACGAACACTATGAAATTAATAAACTTGAATATTTCAAACTAAAAGAAACGATCATTGCATTTCTTTCGGATTAACAAGAACAAACAACAAGCATACAAAATGAGTAATAAAAGCAACTAATTGAATGCAGCAAGTGAATAAGCATTGCGTATGCAGCCAGCGCATTTCGCAATAACTGTTCATGCTCAGTTCTGATGACTCCATCATGTTCATCGATCTGACGAGGCAGTTGCGTGCATTTAATCGCCAGATGAAGGGAACGTTTAATTCATTTATGACTCACACTCAAAACTATTTCTTTAGTTAGAATCGAGAGCAGTTGAAACTTAAATTTGAAGTTCTCCTCTTAATGTGCGAAATTCGAGATTAACAGTGAAAGGCTGCTAGCGAAAGCGTCTAATGGCGACAACGTTCTCTACTCGAACACGTCATATATTCAACTCTAGGCAAGTGAATTAAGTGTGTAGCGTAAACGTTTAATGTTGACATCTGACAGAAGCACGTGGAATTTTACAAGTGATAGTAACACGATAGATTCGTAAACATCGCACTTTCAGAATTCTCAAAATATCATTTGGATGAAATGTGAAATCAAAACATAAAAGATGCACATGTGGGAAATGCAACATATTTGTTGCATATTTAGATGAAATGTATGCTAATAGCCAAAACAAAGGCACTGTATGAAAGCTGAGAAAATGCTACAAAGAATGTTAACTACGAATATAATCTTTCAGGAATGGGAGAAGGCAGCGAAGAATAATGCGTGTAAAAGAAGGCTATCGCATAAACAAAGGCAGTCAACGAGTCAAACAGTCATTCGTAATTCGTACATATCATTCGACAGTTGTGTTATCCCAGGACTGGGGCAATAATCATCAATTTAAAGTATTAATAGTGCTCCCTAATTTTAATTGATTATTTCGTGAATTATATGTTGAATGCATTTCCCATGTTTGGGGCTTTACGTATTATTGCTATTATATTAATTATATCCACCGACAATAAATTGTTATATTAATATATCTATATTCAGCAGCATCCTCAAACATACTAAAATTCTTAACTGATTGAAAGGAATGATGAAGTGTGTCGCGATTAGATAATCACGAAAAGGAAAAGAGTTTAAAATACGAAAAGAAAATGATTCATGAATTTTACAACGTTACCATAAGAATCTAACATACGTGTTCTTAAGCAATTGATATTTCCAGTCCATTCGTGAGTGGTTATTCTTTTATTATCATCACTACGACTGGTGTTGTTATTATCATTGTTATTGGTGTTATTACTATTATCGTTATTATTATTATTAATTATTATCATTATTGTTATTATCATTCTTGTTATTATTATCATTATTATTGTTATTATTATTATTATTAGTACCATTAATTAATGATTTTATCGTCGTTATTATTGTTACTGATTATTGTTGATTACTCTTGTTGTATTATCACCGATACAATCGGTATTTGTATTATTATCATAACATAATGGTTTAATTACCCAAGTTTGAGATTAAACGATTTAACGACAAGTGTGTACAGTCGTTACAAAGTGAATCAAAGAGTATTCAATTTATTCGATGGAACCTGAAGGGATTCGACGTTCATGAACTGAATAAAACGTCACATATATTTTCTGGTTGCTTTGCAGTGGTATTCTGACGAATATTTTTAAGAAAAGCCTGGCAAACTTAATTTTCATCATTCTCTCTGTAGACGCATCATGAATTCTGCTAAACTTCATCGAACATCAGTAAGCAGTGAGATGTCAGAAGATTATTCGTAAGAAGAAATATGCATCCACATTGAATGTTTGATCTTCAAGTGATGGATTGACGAGCGACATCTCGAAAATCTACGAGAAATGAATGTCTGTTGAATTTATTTTCTTTGATATACGACGTATTGGTTGTTTTAAATCAATGAATTTTCGATGAAGTTTCACTGGAACGAAACCGAAATCGCGAATGACGATGTTGCTTTTCTGGTAACGGACTTCGTTGGCGTCACTCATCGCGCATAACACGCAGCAATCTTCGATCAAACACTTCAATCAATAATTTAATGAACTTCCATCAAACACTTCAACTAACTCACCGAATTATTCAGAATCACAAACTCAGCTGGATAATCACAGTCATAAATAGCACCAAAAATGTTTCATTGCTGAAACAGCAATAGAAAGCCTAGCATATCAACAACAACATATAGAAGTATCAGTGGAGCATTCATCTGTCATATTCTGATTTATTTACTTATTTCAAAATAACTTTCTAAATTTTGTCCTGCAATCTAAACAGCCTAAAAGACTCCTAGATTTCGTAATAAGCGATAGAAGTTCTGAGTTCGAGGATGCTGAAGGAGAAAATTGAAAATAGGTTGAAGTTAGCATTTTTTCAAGGCGAAGCGAGAAAAGTCCTGTTCATTCTCATTTGAAAACCGCAGGAAGTTTTCTTGATAATAATTGTCGTAGCAATAATTTTAATTACTGTCGAGCGGTTGTTTTGTTGATCGCTGTGAGCGATCGGTGGAATATTCATTTTGTAGAGTTATGATTATTTATTGNATTAGTATTTGGCTACGTTTAGTTATGCAAATTATTCACGGCAACTAATTAAATACTCGGTTGTGTTCGCTTGGCCTCCTCGCCTGGCCAGCAGGGTGGCATCAATCAAGGCTAAAACAGTGCGAATGGAAACGCGAGCATTGTGGCCAGCAACGTTACAAACGTTTGATAGCCTGGCCGATCCAGGTAATTACGCGAGCATTGTGGCCAGCAACGTTACAAACGTTTGATAGCCTGGCCGATCCAGGTAATCCAGGTAATAATCATCAATCGATTCAGCTTGATCAGTAGATCACGAAAAGTACAAAATTATGGCATTTTGAGAGACGTAAGATGAGGTAAATACTTCCAAAAGAACGTTCAAGGTCAATGGTGTAATCGTTTCACACAATTATTCAATGCACTGAAGGTCAGAGGTTCAATTCCTAAAGCGTCAATTATTTTTGACATTTTTTCGGTTGCATCCTTCCAAAAACTTTTCGAAATCGCAAAATTTTTGCCATCAAAGAAACGAGCGGTTTTTGTTTTTGAATATGGCCTCGCAGAACGAATCCATGCAATGTATAACTTTGACTTCTGGCGTCATGTTTGATCCTTCAATGCCCTTCACAGATCCAACGTTAAGAATTGTTTTTTGGCGTCCGGAATGTCCGGAAGGCACGGTCGGCGTGCGTGAGCCGATTATCTCAACCTCATTCTCAAATGCGCTTCGCAAATCCATCTTTGCGAATTGTCTTTTACTGTCCGGAATGTCCGGAAGCTGCGATCGGCGTATATGAGCCGATTATTTTAACCTGTAATTAATTTCTGGTGTTCTTCGTATTTTCGATTGTTCGCTTGCTAGCCATTGGTAATTGGTTAGTGGTTAATGAGCGAATAGTCAAACAAACGAAGAACCGGTGCCCCCTACCATAACCGAAATATTTTCTTTCGTTGAAATTTCATTTTTGAACCGAAAGAAGGAATTCAATGATACTTATAGTCTATCTCTATCTTTTGCTTTATCCTCTTGTCTCATTTTAC